AAGGAAACTGAGGCACAGCAAAGTTAATTAGCCATGCTTGGCTAATTAAGTATGGTTAAGGCCACCCTTGCTGGAGTCAGAATGGATCGGGCTACAGAGAGCAGTGGCCTTATCACTGTACATATTGTCTTGCCCAGACCTTATCTTAGCTAATCAACTAATCTGTAAAGTGGGTATTTCTCCACTAGTCATTCCTGGCTGCCATAAAATCACCTGGAGACACTTAAAACACACACTCCTGCCTATGCTCCACCAAACTAGAGATTCTGATTCCATTGGTCTGAAGTGCATTCAGGAATGTGTAAAACCCCTTAGTACCTCCAAAACAGCTCCCACTTGACAGGGGATAAGAGGAGACTGGAAGGAACAGGGTTGAACAAGTTGTCAAGGGCTAAACTCAGGTACTGTAAATTAGGCAAGGGTTTCTCCAACCGGACTGTGCACCAGCACTTGGCTATCTCTCAGATGCAGGTTCTGATGCAGTAGGGCTAGGCAAGCCCTGCAATCCTGCAGTCTGCAGGCAACTGTGTTGCTACTGGTCCCAGAACCAGGCTTTGGGTTTTGGGCAGCACTTTGTCAGATGCCCTGAACCTTTTGGTGTTTCCTGGCCCTCTAGAGAGCTGCGGCTTTCCTGACAGTCTAATCTGGGAGAGCATATTCGGCCAAGGTGCACCCAGATTTAGGATTCTTTAAGATCCCAGGTTTGAGAAACGTTCAGTGCTCTCCAAGACCCAGCCTATGAGGAAGATCTTGGAGTGGAGTCGGAGTTCTAGATCTTGAGATGGAGGAAGATACTGGGAAGCTGAAAGAAAAAAACTCACCATTGCTGCCCAGAGGCAGGAAGTCCGCAACAACACCCTTGTCCAGTTCCTCCGCTCTCCTCCCACCCAACCTCGGCCTCAGGCTTCCCACTCTTCTCATTCCCTCTGACTCCCGCCTGAGCCCTGGGGCAGGGTGCCAGGACAGGCAGCCTCTCCCGCCCGTGGGATGCACGACTTTCTTCGTCCTGCGGGAGGGTCAGACAGAAGGGATTCAAGCATTTCGATGCGCATTTCTCACGCACCCTTCTACAGCTCTCCCTCACCACTGCCGCGACTTTCAACACCGGTTTTGCCTCCTTCCTCCAAACCGGTGATGCGGCACGGGGCTGGCTCTCGGCTTCTCAGCGCCTCGAGGTTCGGGGTGAGCACTCTACCGGAGCCCAAGTTCCCAGTCCACGGCGAGATGCGGACTTTAGGTGGACCGGGAAAGAAAGGAGGGTTTTTGCGGCCCGTATATCCCCAGGGCTCTTTCCGGGAATTGGAAGAGTGCTTTCCTTTCGCAGCCTCCAGCGAAAAAAGATGCCACGTGGCGTGGTGCCGGCAGACTCGGAGGCCCCAAGCGCCCCCGGGAACCACCACAGCACACAGAGCCCCGCGGCCCATGGCGAAGATGGGCACGGCGCTTGCGCTCAGCACATAACATGGAAAAATGGATCATAACCTCGCGTTCAGGGGAAGTTTGGGTTTTTTCTTTAAGAAATGTATCCTTCCCTAACCAAAATCTAGCACCTAGGGCCGCCCACCCTCTCCCCGCAGGCACAGCCATCCCAGGTTCCGGCCCATCAAGTCGGGAAATGAGACGATCTATCAGCGCGGGGTTCCCGGGAGCTGCAGCTGGCCCCGAGTGCGCGGCCGGAGGCGTACCCCATCTGCGCGCGTCCCCAGAGTCACCCGGGAATAACTGCGCTGCCGCCGCCGCCTGGGCTCCCGACCTCCGCGCGACCCACATTAGCTCGCTTCGCCTGCTGTGGCTTTGCTGCTCTGGGCTCCAATGCCGGTTTGGCTTGGGTTGAGACTCCCGAGGCCGCAGGCGAGGCGGCGGCTAAAAACTTTCATAGACCGTGCTGTTTCGCTGAAGAAGAAAAACACTGGCCCCGGAGAATTAGAAAAACCTGAGGAGGAAATAGATTTGGGCCTGAAGAATGCGGGGGTAGGTGCCCACGCGGGGCTGCTGGGCCAAGGAACACCTCTGGTGGACAGCAGAGACCTGGGGAATCTCACAAGCAGGGGCAAGTCTGGGGAACCCCAAATTTGCTTGTAAATGGAAAAAACTCTAATGGTTACCATGGAGGAAAAAAACCCGAATGTGATGTTTTCATACCCTTATTTTGAGGGACTGTTGGAAAGATCTCCAGGGCGTTTGTCAGGTGTGGAGCCTCCCAGAGTTCGTATCTGGCCCTCACTGGAGCGGGGGAAAGAGGCAGGGACAGGCCACCCTTGAGCGACGCCAGACACGAGCTCTCACGTCCCGCCTGAGGCGTCGGGCAGCACACCTGGCGGGCTGGACCCGGACAGGAGGCGGTGCGCACCGGGGTCTCCAAAGCAGCCTCAGTAGTGGAGCCTTTCCGCGAACAGGCGGGCCCTCGGTTTGTCTTCCATTAAGGTGGAAGCCTGGATTTTTCTTCCAGTTCCAATCCAGGGCGGAGAAGGCCCTTTCTCCCACTCCTTCATGTCCAGATTAGGGAATGAGGAGACAGTAGGGGAGCGGGGGGGGGGGGGGAAGTGCCTTAACATAGCCCAGAGTCTCCAGCAGCCTCGACTCCCCGAGGGGTTGGAGATAGGAGACGTGAGTTTCAATCCGGCTTCTCTCGGCCTGGAGCTTAGTTTAGCAACCAGAGACCTTAAAAAGGGAACACCAATAAGTCAGTCCACCATCTCTTCTGGTCCTAGGGCCCGAACCTACTTGTCTCTAGGGCTGGCGCCAGCCCCGCGAGATCGCGAAGATGCGCTTCCTCTGGATACGCGCCTGGGCTGCCTGCTCGCCCTCGGAGCCTGGTCGGCATTATCTGCTTCGACCTCCTCTGAGCAGAATCTATTGTCAGTTCGGAAAATCTCATACAGGTCCTGGGGTTGTCCCAGGACCAAACTGCAGCGAGGATTCCCGCGCGCCCCAGGCGCTGGAACTCAGCATCCTCCCCATTTTACCTGGAGGCTAGACCCCTGGGGCACTTCTGGGGAATTTCCCTGGGCACCGATACTGTGCTGGAGGATTAGAAAGGAATAAGAAAAAGAGAGAATCGAAGCCTCGGTAACCTGGTCTCCTCCTTCTCCTCTGTTTAATACCCCGCCTCCCCTACTGGTCTCCAGGCTTTTCTCTCGGCGGGGGAGGGACCCGAGAAGCTCGCGGCCAGTGATCGCCGGGATCTGTCTCATCACCCATCCTCCACAGAGCAAGATCGGCAGAGGCCTCCAGGGAGTAAGAGTTCCGAAGAAGGTCTCAGAGGAGCCAAGACACGCTCTCTACTAGGAATTTTCGTCGCTCTTTGAAATAGACAAGTTAAAAAAAAGTAACTAAGGGAACAATGAACTCCTGTGACATATCTAACTCTCCTAGGTACCCAAACACTAAAGACCCCGTGGGTCCTTTCGCCATGGCCCGAACCTAACCCCAGCCCCGGGACTGACCTCTGCCTGAGCTTTGGAGCCGGTGTGGACCTCGACTTTGCAAGTAGGCCTGAGTTTTATGACCTGTCGCTATACCCGGAGCAGCTGCTCGAATGTACCAAGGAGCCCAACTCGGGTGCATAGTGCCGACGTCTTTGTCTTTCCCAGGCTGAGGACATCGCGAGCTAGGTGTCCGGGCAGCAAGGCGCCCAACAGTAGCGTACATCTTCCTTCACACCCGCAGAAGCTGTCAAGTCTGGAATTCGCAGCGGGCATGCGGGCCAGCCTGAGGATACAGAGCCAGGAGCAACCAGGCCCACCTACTGCCGCGCCATCCAAAGGTAACGCCACAGACCATGGTCCATGTGTCCTGAGCATCGCACACTTCCTGCACGTTCAAATATTACTTTTTAATAATTTAATCCCGAGCACCCCACCCCTCTTCAGGAATTGCTTAGATCACTTCCCTACTAAGATCACTCAGAGGCTTGGGGCATGTAGTTCTGGAGGGATCCTTTAGGAAAGGTATGTCCAAGACCAGAGAGGTGAAGCCACTCCTTCCAGATGTTGTCGCTACTAGAATAATAAAGTCATAACTAGAATATCGCTTCTTATGCTCCCATCCCATTCACCTTTCCAATACACTCTCCCCTTTCGACTAACTTGTTACTAGAGCATCTTGCAATGTTTTCACAAAGAAGAAGAAAAAAGTCCTAAATTTACAACATCAGAGCACCCCAGGGAATTCCAGAATCCAGCTGCAATTCCTGCAAAGCTTCAATAGGAGGCAGTGGACTCTGGGCTCTACTCTCACCATCCTTCCCAAAGGCTATTAATATAAATTTTCCTTAGTTCCAAACACTTCTTCAAGTTAATATGCTGGTAACTTCAGACAGACAATTAAAAGAGTAACTGGCCGGCCACGGTGGCTCACGCCTGTAATCCCAGCACTTTGGGAGGCTGAAGTGAGTGGATCACAAGGTCTGGAGTTTGAGACCAGCCTGGCCAACATAGTGAAACCCCACCTCTACAAAAAATACAAAAAATAGCCAGGCATGGTGGCACAGGCCTATAGTCCCAGCTACTTGGGATGCTGAAGCAGGAAAATCATTTGAATCTGGGAGGGGGAGGTTACAGTGAGCAGAGATTGCCCCACTGCACTCTAGCCTGGGTGACAGATTGCGATTTTCTCTCAAAAAAAAAAAAAAAGTAATTAATTAAGGGAACAATGGACTCCTGTGATATCTCAGAGGTTTTTAGGGCACTGAATTATCTCAGAATTCAGGTAGCAAAACATGTTAAATGAGTCACAGCTTGTCTAACCTTAGGCCTATTGTGACAGATGTCATTTCCTGGAGAACAGACTTATTTAAGATTTTTAAAAATCCTCAAATGAGTTTTAATTCTACCTTACAGAAAGGTCCCCTGCCCACAAATTAACAAGGTTTTCTTCACTGCTGAGATAGCAAGGTGAATCGTGTATCAATGACCAAAAATGGATATGTTGAAGCTTGTGGCAACTAAATTCCCATGTAACTAACTTAAAACTGATCAGAATAGTTAACTAATCATGGATTCAAAAGAAAAAAGTTATTTATTTGCTACTGAAATTTTGGGGAATGATGACCTTGTCTCTCACCATTTATTCTGTCAGTGTTTGCTATAAGGATACTGTTCTCTGTATTCCCCCATGGTTGAAGGCATTTCCTCTAAAGGAACTCATAAAAGATATTGTTTTCAGGACTTAGTGTGAACATAACCAAGAAAAGGCCATTATTCTGGTTCCTTGTCCCCTCCACTGGCTAACCTTATTGCAGAAACAACTCTTGTTTCATTAGAGTAGAGGCAGAAGACACTGAAGAAGTAGTAGGATGAGAGAAATTGCACCAAGGGTGCGCAGACTGAGTATGTTGGAGCCTAAACTCAATTTTCTGATCCTTTCCAAATATTCTAGGGCTTAGCAACACATGCACAAAATATCCTCGTGTATACGTTGCCCATGCACACACTTATTGTTTTACTTTTTGCTCTGGACCTAAACCCTTGTGAGATGGAAACTGAAAAATACTTCTTGTGCAAACATTTATTTTCTAGTTTCTATCCCATAAGGGTTTAGATCCTAGAAAAGATTACAAAGGTCTTTGAAGGCAATGATTGAATGAAGTAGTGAAATGAAATAATTGATCTGTGATAAGCTGAACACAAGAAAAGGTTTTGGTGAGTAGAAAGTCTGGCTCAACGGCTGTGTGCATCATGCTTGTTTAAATTACTTCTGCTTCTGTTATTCAGGTGTGCGCCCATTGTCTGTGTGTGCGTCATGGAGGGATGGCTTGCTGGCTGTGGGAACAACAGAGCAAAGAGCACATTTTTACACTTTACTGTAAAGTGGACTGAAACCTCAATATACCAAATTTCTGCTGCAACAAAGCCCAGCCTTTTCCTTTGAAGCTCTTAAATATGCTTTTCTTGTTAGTATTGTTCACTAAATTTCATAATTTTGCTTCTTAATTCTACAAAGACAAATAAATTGCATGTACAACCAAGTACAAAAAGATGCCCCTAACAACTTGAAAAGTGTACTTTTATTTGGGATAAATTTTGCATTTGCCATTCTTTTGCTTATGCCATATGTGAGTAAATTATCAAATAAGGAAATAAAACAGGCATTAATAGTATGTAAGGCACTGTGTATTTAGGGCCTAATTTGTTTTTTTTATAAATTATAAATTGATAAATATGGATGAATGAACAGTTACATCTTTGCACTGATTTTCTATTCAACAGAAATTTTTTTCATCTGCATTCTTCCTTCCACCCTACATCAGTTGTCAACTTCTTTCGAGATCCACCTTCTCCAAGAGGCCTTATTTTGGTTAATTTCCACCACTCTCCCACCTGGGATGCCTGTCTTATTTTTTTCCCCTAAACATTTATGGAGACACTGTGCCAGGCTATATGGCATCTTTATGTAAATTCTTGTATTTTTTCATCCAAATTGAAAGTTCTATGCAGGGGCCTCTTCTTGAACTTTTAGAAAACAGCAACCACCCAATGGCAAGAGATGCGTAAAGGCAAATTCAGTAAGTATCCGTATGAAATGAAAAGCAGCCTTTGAAGGACTAGAGGATCTAGAGGAGATCCCAAAGCCAGTGTGTTTGGGTCACACTACACCCTAACAATTTCTATTGACCACCAGCAGCAATAATAAAAATGGACACAGTCACCACCCACACAAGTGTACATATTTATGTCAATTTCTCCTACCATCTTTCAGACTTGAGAAATAAAAAATAGAGCACATTTAGGGAAACATTATTAATATATTAAAATGTGATTTAATGGTAAATTTTGCTCCTTGATCACCTCTTTGCTATTTTAGAGAACCAAAGATTTTTTCTGAATGATTAGAAAGATATTTAATTAATGTAGGTGAAAGTTGTAGGTATAATGACCTAATTCATATTGCAATGGATCACAGTGGATAAGATGAACAAATTAATGGGTATTTTTTAGCCATGTTTAAGATTAAACATTAAAAAGAGCATTGAACTTATTGTGCTTTGAAAATGATCCTCTCAGAAAGAAGGAGTTAAAATTGCTTTCTTTCTTCTTTCAACTAATTTGAGTACTCTAGGGCACACTCCCTGGTGTCAACAAAGAGATCATTTATATCACATATTATTTTCAAACATTTTAATATACCACAACATTTTAAGATCAATGACCAATGCTACTACTCATCTAATATTTTAATATTAAGGCAGATAATCATAAATTAATTCAGTTGATCTTTTAACAACTTATATAGTGAAGATATCTGCATAACATATCACAATATAAATTGTCATAATATTTTATAGGTATCACTTCTACTTGTGTAATGATAAATATCTTTGGGTTTTCAAAGCATCAGGCATACTGTTAGTAGTATTTGGCTAATGTTTATGGATCTATTTGTACTTTGTTTCGAATGCTTTTATATTCATTGGCCTATTTGGTCTAACTAGCCATCCCTGAGTTATTTTCCCAATTTTTCAGATGAGAAAAAATAAAATCTTTACAAGGTCACAAAAGTAATAAATAGTGAATCCTGTACTAAAATCTACTCATTCCATTCCTCATAAAATGTTGGGGGGAAAGAGAGAGAGTGAGAGAGAGAGAGCGAGAGAGAGAGAGAGAGAGAAAATACTTTATTACATGTCTCATTTTTTCCAGTTTTCCAGTGCTACAGGAAAGTAAAGGTTTAATAATATTTGCTGACATGAAAACGAGTAACACATATAAATGTTATGTCTCCCACTCTCAACTGATAAGAACTGACCTTATATCACTCTTCTGTATAAAATAATTTCTGTTAAGTTCTCCTGCATAACTTTGCCTCAATTCTTCTATATATAATTATCTTTGTAAAGTTCTTGAGAAATGTTTGGATGAAATACTGAAATACAGACATAAAAGTAAAGATGTCAAAATATAGTGTCAATTTTAATATTACATTATAATTTGAATTGCTAGTGATCTAATTATTGATATTAAAATATGTTTGAAAGCTAAAAACATTCTATAGATACTTTGTGGCAGATATGTGAGAATATAATTATACTTAAAACAGCATTCTACAAATTTCAAGAACATGAATTAATGATAGAGATTTCAGGTTTCAGATCATTATTTGATACTGATTAAAAATTTTTATGGAAGTCAAAATATGGAGTAAAAATATATAAGGAGAAATGAAGATAATCTTTACCCAGTTAAAGCATGTGATTTTTCTATTTTAATTCTAATTGATCATTTGACATTTGGGAAGGTCATTTAATTTATTTGAGCTTCAGTTTGGGGGTATGTACAACCACAATAACTCATATCTTTCCTTGACTACCCTCTACGGTTGGGGAAGATCAAATTACATAATGCAGGTGAAATATTTTGTAATTTTTCCTTTAATATGACACTGTTTTATAACACTATATTATTGATGCAACATTTATTTGCATCATAAAATATTCTCTAAGGAATAAAATATTTGGACATCACTACAATTAATGAGGACTGCATGTGTATTTTTGAAAGCCATATTCTGATTTATAGAGCAAAAATTAAAAATAAGCAGGCTACCAAATGTGTAAATATAGGGATTAGCCCAGTAGTATTTGTTTTTCCATTCCACTAGAGGCTTTAGAGTAATGTCAGTGTGTGTTTTTCTTATGTAACTATGTGACATTACTTAGGGCATAATTCTAAATATTCTCTTACAAATTTCTGATTTGCTTGCATCCCTTCTTCGCAGAGTGGTCACAATATAATGCGGGAGGGTAAATGATCCCAGAGTTCAGAGTTCTCATGCATCCAGGAGAAACATTCACAGAAAAATAAGCCCACATGGAGCTACTGCATTGTTTGATGGCCTCGTTTGAGGAGGTGTCAGTTTAACTTTAAACCCATGAGCTTATTGAGAGCAGGGGAGAGAACGGGGTGTCTCCAAATGCAGGAAACTGTTGCCATAGCATTTTCCCTCTCTATTCCTGCATAGCCCTCTTCCCCCAAAGCAGCAACAATTTTTGCTCTACCGTTTCTTTCAGGAACCAGATGCATTTTCAGAAGACAGTACTCCAGTGATGTGATATCTACACCACATAACTGTACCTGGTGAGGAGATTTAATAAGTCTGAGGGTGGTGTTAAGTTTCTCAGAACAGACTCATCTTTGCGGATGCAATTGCAGAACAGGAAACAGTCCCAGGGAGGATTTTTAGGCCCCCTCCAAATCTCATTGGCCCTCCGCACAAGCCAAGCCACAGCCACTCCTGCCACACAACCGGATTGCTTTCAGCACTCGCAGCCGTGGACAGCTCCCTCGCCGCGCGGTGTTTTCTCTGCAGTGAGCTGATTTGCTCTGCCAGCAGCGGTCGGTGCCGCACTAGACACCGAGTCCTAGCCAGCGCTCACAGAATACTCTCTCCCTCCCTCCTCCTTCTCTGGCCCCCGCCCCTCGCTTACCCCGGCCCACCAGAGGCGACTTTGAGGGATTCCCTCTCGGGCGGCCTCTGCAGCGCACAGCTGGCCTCATTCGTTGCACTGCGAGTATGGATCTCCGAGGAAGAGCGGTCCCCAGCGTCGGCAGACTTCTAGTTCTCTTGGTGCTGTTCCGTGAGTAGCGTTTTGGCGACTGGGAGGACGGGGATGCACTCTTTGCAGAGAACAGAGCCGGCAAAGTAAAGCCAATTAAGATAAAAAATATGGCCCTTGTGTCATGCGTTTTTTTTTTTTTTTTCTTTTGCGGGAGGAGGGAGAGCCTTCCCTGCCGTTGGCGGGGAATTCCCCTGAGAGCCATACACCTGTGTGATATAGTCCAGACAGAGCCTAGACAGACCAGCTTCGTGGGGTCAGAGCATTGGCAAGAAAAATTTAGTTTAAAATCCCAAGATATAGAAAACGGCCAACTATATTACAAACTAAGTCATGATTTAAAAAAATTTTTTTAATTATATTTTCATTGTAAATTAACAGGGAAGGAATGAAGCCTGTTAGGCCCAGGCTAGAGAAATGGCTTGTAGAGCGTACAGCTGCTGGCAGAGAACTTTGTCACTCCAAAGCCTGCAGACCACTGTCTCCCCATCTTAGCGCCCAAGACGCGTGGGCTCACTGAGCCCTGAACTGATAGAATTTGCTTTGTTCGTTCCGCAGATACAATGGCTCAAATCACGGCAGAACAAGAAGTGGAAAATCTCTCAGGCCTTTCCACTAACCCTGAAAAAGATATATTTGTGGTGCGGGAAAATGGGACAACATGTCTCATGGCAGAGTTTGCAGCCAAATTTATTGTACCTTATGATGTGTGGGCCAGCAATTACGTAGACGTAAGGAATCTTTTCCCCCCAGCTTGCTCCTAGGGCTCCAGGGCGAGGGGCACCCTTCCTTATGGCCCTTCAAATACCTGGGTAGCCCGCCTACTTCCCCACACCCCTGCAGGCTGCTCCCGAATGCTGCATGGGGGTTCCAGCTTGTAACGCCTTCTGCTCGCCTTGCCTGCTTTGAAAATAACCCCTCTTTTCTCTGCTTCCCCTCTCGGCTGGGGCTGCTCGTAGAGCATCTAACCGCATGTTCCTGGAACCTGGCATGCGCGCGCGCAAAGGAGCGCCCAAGCGTGCAACCCAGAGTTTGGACGCGCCGCCCTTTACAGCCCCCACCCCGGGGCCTGGCGCGCTGAGGGGGCGCGGGGCGTCTGTGTTCCCAGCTGATCACAGAACAGGCCGATATCGCACTGACCCGGGGAGCTGAGGTGAAGGGCCGCTGTGGCCACAGCGAGTCGGAGCTGCAAGTGTTCTGGGTGGATCGCGCGTACGAACTCAAAATGCTCTTTGTAAAGGTAACTCAGACCCGAGCGGGCAGAGGGGCCACAGGCTCCGCGTGGGTGTGGGAAATGGCGGCCCCTGGGTTTAAGAACCCAGACGCTGCAAAGGCGATAGAAGCGCGCCTCCTCGGCTCAACAGGAAAGCCACAACACGTCCAAGGGACCTGAGGCGACTTGGAGGCTGAGCAAAGTGCAGTTTGTCTACGACTCCTCCGAGAAGACCCACTTCAAAGACGCAGTCAGTGGTGAGTAGAGGCTGGCAGGACTAGGGAGGGAGCCTGGGAACTCGAGGAGCAGGCTTGGAGAGAGAATTCCTTAGGGTTTTGGAAACCGTTCCTGGCTTTGCGCTCCCAGGCCAAGGCTTCCTCGGCATGCTCTTTAGGGGTGAAGAGGCGGGAGCGCCGGTGAGTCTTCTGGGTCTCAGGCCCTGTAGATCCGCAAGGAACCGCAGGCTTGGGGACCCATCCGTCACCCATGGCTTGATCCTAGATGAGACGTCCCTTGAAGGTCTGTCTTTCCCTGACTGCTTCAGGACGACCTCTTATAATTTGGCCTTTGAAGGAGCTCGAAGAAGGGCAAAGCCGTATTTTAATTTTCTTCAGCACCCTGGTTTTGTTTCTCACTCGCTAAAACTGCAAGGGGGCAGTGCCACTTTCCTTTTCGGTCAGGATGTGATGGCCTTCAGTGTCTTTTTTGCGCATGGCAGCATGGCTCTCACGGGATATTAAGTCACCGACTGCAGCCACCTAAGAGTGGACTCTGCACCATCTCTAATTTACTAGCGTTTCTGGCCCATCCCTCTGACAACTCACCCAGATCCTCCAAAAATATCCCCAGCAAGTGGAGCATTCATCCCCCAAATAACAATATTCCTATCTGCAGGCACCATCAAAGACCACATTTAAACTGATTTTGTTCTTTGTAAGTTGTCTGTTTCACTGGTAATGAGGCCTTTTGTCACCCAGGAACCTGAGTTGGGAAAATATTTTTATTGAACACATAAAAATACATGTGTCATCTTTCCCCTTTCACACCTTTTTTGTCATCACAGTAAAAGGAGGATTTTTTTCTTTTTCATTAAAGTTTAGATGCAAGATGTTCCTGAGTTAAATTAGACCAAAAAGAAAAAAGGAAAAACCAAAACTTAGGTCAGAAAAGGAGCAGTGGGAGGCAGACCTTCAGAGGGGTTGTACGTGTGTGACAAGCACCCAGAGGACCAGCAAGCTGTCTGGCTTTGTTGAGGAAGATATTTTATTTTTTGCCAGGCCAGTGTGAAATGTGGAAAACCTTCATTGTTCCTTCTGTGTCTTTGGAATCTCCATTGTTGGGGTTTTTTTTTTTTTTTCTTTTTTGAAGCAGTGTCTTGCTCTGTCCACCAGGCTGGAGTGCAGCGGCACCATCCTAGATCACTGCGGCTTGGAGTGAGCTACTGGGTCGAGAGATTCTCCCACCGCAGTTTCCCCAGTAGCTAGGACTACAGGCATGTGCCATCATGCCAGACTAATTTTGTAGTGTGTGTGTGTGTGTGTGTGTGTGTGTGTGTGTGTGTGTGTGTATTTGTAGAGATAGAGTTTCACTATGTTGTTCAGGCTAATCTAGAAATCCTGGACTCAAATGATCCTCCCACCTTGACCTCCAAAAGTTCTGGAATTACAGGTAGAATCCACCATTCCCAGCATAGGGGTTTTTAGGTATCACTCTTCTCTTTGAAAAATGAATTCCAAATTAATATTGAAAGAGCCCTGTCTCTCAACAGAATAGGTGTGTTTGTCCTTCACCACTTGATGCCATTTGTAGAGCCCTAGCCATGGCAAGGGAACAGAGAACAGGATGGGTATGGGGTCTAGAACTGAGAGGCAATAGCCACCTCTCTGGCACATTAGGTTAGGAACAACGAAGATTCTGCCAGCAAGAGGGGCCTAACTATTGCCTTGGGCCCTTGCTGTAGCTGGGAAGCACACAGCCAACTCGCACCACCTTTCTGCGTTGGTCACCCCAGCTGGGAAGTCCTATGAGTGTCAAGCTCAACAAACCATTTCACTGGCCTCTAGTGATCCACAGAAGACAGTCACCATGATCCTGTCTGCAGTCCACATCCAGCCTTTTGACATTATCTCAGATTTTGTCTTCAGTGAAGGTAAGTCCATGGCAGGGGTGGAGGGGAAGAAGACTCAGTTGATTTCAGGAAGGATGGGAGAGGGACATACCAGAATGTTGGCATACACATATGTTCTCCTAACATAGCAGAATGTTAGCACTTGGATTTCCTCTAAGTTGAAATGACACTGCTGGCCTCTGTAATAATTTTCAAAGACTAAAAAAGCAGTAGGCTGAATGTATGAACTTTTATCAGTAGCTTTTTCTTTCTCCCTCCCACATTCCTCCCCTTCTTCCTTCTCTTGAGTCCTTTCTTCTCTATCTTCCTTTGTTTCTTTCTTCTTCTTTTCTTTTCTTTACCTTCTTCCCTTCCTTCTTATATTTAATCTTTTCCTCTCTCCCCATCTTCTTTCCTTTGCCAAAAGATGAACGCTTGTAGGAAGAAAGATTTAAAAACTCACCTTGGAAAAAACTGTATTTTGATGCAAACTTCCCAAGGAGGAAGAGTTAAAATCTTCAAGAAGTTAGCTAATCTAGAGAGCTATGGATTGGGGAAGGACCTTTGCCTTTCCGGGCCTCAGTTTCTTCTTCTTCTCTTGGATACTTCTAGCTGTAGGTTCTGCTGCTTTCAGTCCAAGTTTCTGTGCATTCAGAAAGCAGTGGGGGTGTTTGTGTATGCACGGGTCATGGACTCACCAATTCTTTCCACCAAACACCTTCGTGAGGAGGATGTCCCTAAGCTCCAGAGAGGGAAGGGTCCCTGAAGGCTGAGTCGCTTAACCCCAGCTGCTTCTGCTGAGAGTGTGGAGCAAGGCTGTCTCTCAGTCTGTTTAGCCCCTGGGAGGGAACTCAGCTATGCTATGGCAGGTTCAGGTCATTCTTCTGTTCTCAGCACCCCTGCAGAGGTAGGGCACAAGGGGAGTCAAGATTTCTGCAATTTGTTCAAGTCTAGCAGCAATTTACGTTGGGCAAGTGTGGGATAAGTGAATTGAATTCATTTATTCTCTCTCCCTCACAAAGGAAGTTATTCAATTTTATATTCTTACTCTATATGGATTAAAAAATCAGGAAACATTCTGATTGCTTTCTTTGTGCCTTTCTTTGAATACATTTCCAGTGTTCAGGATATTAGGGAATCTCCACCTTTGTCATCTCTGATCATTTTCCGAAGTATCTAGCTTTCATATAATGCAGCTTCCATTCAACCTATTACTGAGTAGAATGTACCACCTTCCACCTTGATTATTTAGAAAGCATTTGAGAACACCTAAGTTAAATTGTCTTTAAGAAAAGGAGCCATTTCTTATTCACTTTTAAATTATTAGCACCTAATACAGTGTTTGACATATTGCAGATGCCCAGTTAACTTTGGCCGAATTTATATTTTGATGGTGTGGATTCAATTAGTGGAGACTTCCAAATGCTGCCATGTCATGCAAATCAGAATGTAATATATTTAGTAAAGCAGTGTCACACCTGTTCAGGTGGAAGGATGGGCCATGTTAATGTATTTTCTACAAAATTGAAGCTACTAAACTGTGTCAAGACCTTAACAGTTTCAAAAAAATCTGTTTATGGAAGGATTTATAAAATATAACAGTCAGTGTCTTTCTTAAACTGAAAATATTAAATGTAATCAAATATAATTTGACTTATTATGATTATTGATGACAAGGAATTTATTATGAAAAAATTGGACTATGTAATATCAGTCCCCAGTCCCCAGGACCCTACCATAAATGCTTTTGAGTTTATATGTGTACTCTTAATAGCTGGTAATGACTTTACAGTTTTTGCTGACTAGCTGTTCCTGGCACCTCTTTATTTCTACCACCAATGCTATAATTGCTGCTTCTCCTAGCTCCTTACCATTCTGTGTTATTTCTAAGTCGTTGCTTTATAGTTGCCTATGGCCTGAGAAATCAAACCTCATAGATTTTTAGAATTGTGTATAAAGTAAGAATAAATAATTACTGAATGAGGAGCAGAGCTGCCTCCCTAAAAATCAGTAAAATTCACTGCATGGAGTAAATGGCATCTTTTGTTTAGAAACCAATTTTGATCCACTTCAAGGTCCTAGATAGGGAAGGCTGCTGGATAGACAAAGATAATTTGTAACCATATATAACTTCCTGCATGCATATAGAGAAGGCACAAGCAAATGGCACTTGTCTCAGCCCAGGCTTTTCTGGGTAATAATTAGGATGTTCTCTTTTGTATGGTGTCCCCAGGCTTATGCCTTGACATTCCTGGGAGGAGGCAAGCCTCATTCAGAATCACTCACTGGATCAGTGTGCCTTTGTGTAGCTGGGGTTTTTTTTTTGTTGTTGTTGTTGCTGTTGTTCCTGGCTCCTCCTGTCTGTGCCTCTTAGCACCTGCCCCAACTGTGTTTTGTAAGAGATCATTATTTTCGATTTGGTGGAATTTTATAGATTCCTTGTGTATGCCTTTTCAGGATCTAGCACTGGGCCTTTATCCCTAGAATATAAGCTTCGGGGGTTTTCAGTGTGTGGGTGTGAGTGGAGCATGCCTGTGTGGGGAGGGAATATTATGTCATATATCTGCATACCCACCCATTACAGGGGTGTGTCTGTGTGTTTGTGTGTGTGTGTGTGTGTGTGTTTGGACCATGGCCATCGTCCAGCACAGCAAAATAGTTTCCTGCGAAGAGTCTGTTCCCTGTATAAGGGGGTCATACATTGCAGTCTTCACACCTGTCTACTGAATAGACCTTATGAGAAAATCAAGAAAGGGTCAGTGAAGTCAGCAAGTGGACACTCACAAGGACTGAGAGCAGCCCAAATGGGGTTTGACGTCTTTATCACATGAGTCCCTTTAGTGCGTTGCACTTGGCTACTACACTGATCCCCAAACAAAAGTCTCAGCCCAGCAATGTGCTCGTGAACCTTCAGCTGCAATGTGCAACAACTGTGGCTATATTGTTAGCATGCAGAGTTGGGGTCACTAGGTCTGGGAGTGGGTCCCAAGAGGCTCCATTGCTAGTAAGGTCTCAGGTGATGTTGCTGTCCCGTGGAGCCTTAGAACTCCAAGGCCCTGACTTATCAATGGGTAACAGCTGTTGCAGGAGGTTTCAAAGAGTATACAAAGCAGGCAGGCTCTAAATGGCTGAAAATTTACTTGTTAAGCTATTTTAAAAATAATTGGATGTGTAAAAATTTGGGAGTTTGGTGCCAACAGGCTTTTGAGCTAACAGTCTCAGACTGCAGTGAAGAAATAAACCACCTAGAGGCCAACACACAGAGCCTATCTTTGGCTCATTTATTTACCAAATACACTGTATAGCAACTATCACCTCTGCAACAGCAGCTATCACCTCTGCAATTTGAGGCACTCTGTTTCTCATTTGGGGTTGATTACCTTGTTCTTTCACAATTTATTCTTGAGGGCCTCATTCAAAGGGCCACGATTCCCTTTGAGTGCCCCATCTGATCTCTGGCTGAGATGGGATAGGGTACGTGTCCCTGGGAGGGAACAAATCAGCCTGAGTATTCTAGTAGCTTGAGTAAAAGGAAACTTTTATGAATGATGTAAAAAAAAATACCATAATATAATAGGAAGGCTACCTTTATTTCCCTTTATTCAGGATTCAGGTCTAATGGTAATTTAAAAGACAACACATATAGGCTGATCCCTTTTAAATTCTCTCCAAGGGGGCAAAAAAACGAAACAGAACAAAACAAACAGAACTTCAGAAAGATACTGAGATCCCACTTACAATGGAGCAGCTGAGGCACGGGAGGTGAAGTGGCCTGGTGAAGGCTTTCCTCCCAGAACCTGTCTTTTGGTATCAGAGCCTTTGCTCCAGTGTCTCAGAGCCACAGGTGCTCCTGATGAGTAACTATAATCAACATGTGAATGTGAGAGGCATTTACAGAGTTTGTTGTGTACCCCAAATTCATGAGCTTTTTATTATTGTTCTTAGCGTCATGATTGGGAGATGCCACCTAATCTGTTTTTTACCCAGATCTGTGAGGACTTTAGTGTCAGTGGAAATGAACATGGCTTACATTTCTCTATCTACTCACCACCCTCCAGTACAGCGTCCTGTGGCAAGCTGTCATGTCACAAATACATGAAGGGTTTGCTGATCCAGAGCATTGTAGACCTGTGATTTACCTGGCACTTCCCAGTTAAGAAACATGCCACCCTAGACAGTTGGTCCTCGGGGCCTCCTGAGCAAGCAGCTAAAGGGAAACAATCTGTTATTAACACAGCTGAGAACCGTGTTGAGGTCTCCAAGATGGAGCCCCAGCCTAGGGCATCGGAGTTAGCCAGTCATAGAATTCTATGCTTCAGATACTGTCCTCTGGAGAGAGCACAGGACATACCTCAGAATTATCTCAAATGAGGGTGGGCAAACTGGTATTTACCCACCAACTGCCATCTATCACTGATGGCTGCTGCAGGAGCATTAACTCCCTGGGACTTCTGGCCTGCTTTGTAGTCAAAACCTGTTACTATATACAGGACTGGTGAATGCCAAAAGAAGAATGGACAGTGTCTATGTCCACTACACCTAGGTACTGGGATAGAAGAGCTTTTTCTGCCTCATTGTAACTTTCAGTCTAGTGAGATAGGGTGTATACAATGCATGTCATGTTCCTGGCATACAGTGGCATGAAACAATACTTGCTCTTGTTATTTTTCTTCTCTAATACTTACATCTTTTTTTTTTTTTTTGAGTTGGGAGTGCAGGCTGGCCTTGAACTCCTGGCCACAAGCAGTCCTCCCACCTCAGCCTCCCAAGTAGCTGGGTGGTGATGCCACTGTGCCCAGCTAGTGCTTACATCTTGAAGAGAGTATCAGCTTGTCTTCAGTCAAAGGTCTCCAAAGCCCGCTCATCTTAACAGCTTCTCAGTATACAAAATACATTTTGCTGATAGTTATGGGAGTTCAGAGCCAGCCAAGGGAACATATGGAAAGAGGGTCAGACCCTTTCTCTCTCATGCCCTGACAAACAACAGGGAAAGCACAGCCAGCAGAAATCTTGCCTTCCTCTTGAAACAGAAACAGTCCACG